CTGTTTTTACCTTGCTTCCTATTGCCGCTGGTCAGAAATGGACGTTAATTTCAGTTGGATGTCAAGAATTCCCTCCTCCACAAAGATTTGGAAGAAGTCATCTATATGGAACAACCACCTGGTTATACTCTTGGTACTTCATATCATGTCTATTGTCTTCATCGGTCTCCTTACGTTCTTAAGCATACTCCTCGGGCATGGTTCGAGAAGTTTCACTCTACCATCTCTGTCTTTGGGTTCTCTCGGAGTCTGCACGACCCATCACTTTTTACCAAGCACACGTCTGTTGGTATTGTTGTCCTGCTTCTTTATGTTGATGATATGGTTATTACTTGTACTAATCTTCAGGGGATTTGCACTCTTAAAGAGGGTCTTCAACCTTCTTACAGTCTCAAGGATCTCGAAGATCTATCCTACTTTCTTGGCCTAGAAGTTACCTGGAATCCTCATGGGCTCCTTCTTAGCCAACGGAAGTACATCTCTAGCCTTCTCAGTGATCATCATTTCGAAGACTGCCAACCGATATCTACTCCTTTGGAACTCAACCTTAAATTGGTTTGCATCTCGGGTGATCGTTTACTCATGGTACAGTCTATTGTAGTATAGTGGGAAGTCTCATATACTTGTCTGCCATGTGCCCTGATATCTCTTACGCGGTCCAGTTGGTCAGTAAGTTTACGACAACTCCTCGCACTTCTCATCTTGATGTTGTTTATTGGATCCTTCAGTACTTACAGGGGACACGTGATGTCGATTATTTCTTCCCTTCTTCTGGTATACTCTGCGTTAAATGCTTATTCTTATTTAGAGTTCGTAGAGTGTCTTGATACCCCATCGTTCCACCTCTGGCTGGTGTGTTCAGCTTGGTGATGCCTTTATCTTCTGAAATTGTAAGAAATAGGACAAGGTATATAAGTCTTCCACCGAGATCGAGTATTGCTCTATGTCTATGTCCGTGACAAGTGGTATCAGATCCTGGTTACGCTGAAGAGTCTAGTTCCTCTGTCAGTACGGAATAGGTCGAGTATGGGCCGAACCTATACCCGAATGAGAGGCGGTCCTGGGTGTGCATATCAGGCGGTCCGGACGCAGATACACATGTGTTGCGCCATTGTGAAGGACCTTGACAGGTTGAAAAAGCAGTGTCCGAGAATTTCGTTCAACTGAGGAACTAACGCTAGCGAGAGCGTAGGGTGAAGGTCGATTGAGGTACAAACGCTGGGAGTAGCGTAGGGTGAAGGTCGACTGAGGTATTAGGGCAGTAGAAGCGAAGAGTGAAGGTTGATGTCGAGGGGGCGAAGCGGTATGTGCTTGGGGCACAACAGACTAAGACAAGAGACGCGACCGGCCCGTCCATCAGAGGATGGTATCGTATGCGGACGCCCACAATCGGTTCGAGTGTTGCAATACATGCTGCGGAGAGAAGCATTCTTCACCAGCACGAGGACGTGCTGCATTATGAGTGGTGGAGAATATCACGACCCGAAATGTCATGACCGTGTAGATCGTCTGAAGAACGCTGCCATCTGGTTGTCTTGCCACAAGAGGGGTAAAGGGGGCGACATTAGCGATAAGGCGTTGTCTGCCTGTGCATCATTTCTGGCCGAGTCAGGATGTAGCTATGAAGCGGATCATTGCAAGAGAAGGCACAACTGGTCGGAGGCTATTGTCGTCTCTCTGATAAGCCCAAGGCAGGGAGAAACCAGTTGGCATGTGTATGCGGAGAAGCTGGTCTTGAGGAATGAGTGCACCTCAAGACGCCGCACGGACTTTGGAAGTCTATGTCCGTGACAAGTGGTATCAGAGCCTGGTTAGGCTGAAGAGCCTAGTTCCTCTGTCAGTACGGCATAGGTCGAGTATGGGCCGAACCTATGCCCGAATGAATGCGGTCCTGGGTGTGCATATCAGGTGGTCCGGACGCAGATGCACATATGTTGCGCCTTTGTGGGGGACCTCGACAGGCTGAAGATGCAGCGACCGAGAATGTCGTTCAACCGAGGAACTAACGCTAGCGAGAGCGTAGGGTGAAGGTCGATTGAGGTACAAACGTTGGGTGTAGCGTAGGGTGAAGTCGACTGAGCTACTAGCGTAGTAGAAACGAAGAGTGAAGGTTGATGTCAAGGGGCGAAGTGGTATGTGCGCGGGGCACAGCAGGCTAGCGCGAGAGACGTGACCGGAGCCTGTCCATCAGAGGATGGTATCGGTCCGAGAATATCATTCAACTGAGGAACTAACGTTAGCGAGAGCGTAGGGTGAAGGTCGATTGAGGTAAAAACGCTGGGAGTAGCGTAGGGTGAAGGTCTACTGAGGTACTAGCGCAGCAGAAGTGAAGAGTGAAGGTTGATGTCGAGGGGTGAAGTGGTATGTGCGCAGGGCACAGTAGGCTAGCGCAAGAGACGCGACCGGAGTCTGTCCATCAGAGGATGGTATCGTATGCGAATGTTGTCTCCGAATTGGTTTGGTTGCTTCGTCTCCTCACTGATTTGGATATCACTTTTGTTGTACCAATGGAGCTCTTTGTTGACAACGCTAGTGCTATTCGTATTGCAATCAACTATGTTGTCCATGATCGTTTGAAGCATATTGAGATATTATGTCCGGAATCTGGTCCGTGATGGTACTATTTCGGAACACTACATTCGTACAGATCACCAGATTGCCGATCTTCTTACTAAGGCCTTGTCCTCTAACCGACATTGATATTTGTCTAGGGAATTGATGCTCTGTGATCCGCATCAACTGGGGGAGGCTGTAAGCATATATAGGCCATGCAGAATTGTACATACTTTCATTATAGCCCATTTAATTGAAAAATTGTACATATATAGCCCATTACAGTTGCAGAGCTGTGTTAATGGTAGGAGAGGCTATAGTCCCCTCCACCTCGCCAGTTCGAATTCTCCCGTGTATAATTTTAGCCCCCTCCACTCAAATTTATGGCTCCGCCACTGCATATGTAACCCCTAGGTAGGTGTGTGTAGGTTTCATCCAAATTGGATTCTCCCTGCTTCTTCCTCCAACTCGGAAACCTAATAACGTCAGTAGCCTGAAGAGTTCTAACCCTTCCGTGGATTAGTCCTTGCATTCTCGGGATACCACGTAAACTCGGATTGTTCATTTGTCTGTTTATTTATTCAGTTCCGTATTGATTAAGAGTAAAAGTCGAGTCTATGGCTGATTCCAATGTACTTATGTTCAAGTTTTTCATTTTCAATAAAAATGATCATATTGCAAGTATATCGAGCTATCATTTCACGACACAAACTGTAAACAGAAGATGTGAAAACAGAAACAAGAACGGACAAACAATTAAAATGGAACAAGACACGCAATTTCTTATATGGTTTTCAGTTTAGGAAGAATAAGAATTTTAACACTAAGTACTCCATGATTCGAGTGTGATATCGAAAGTTTCCATAATGATTTTAGCATTGAAGTTCAATCAATGTTAGCCTTTGTCATCCCATATGCCCGCATCAACTCACCTGAAAAAGGAAGTCACATGAATTAGATTAGGAGGATCCAAAATGCCTAGCAACGAATTAATCAAACGGAGATAATAATGAGAAAACCTTGGGCGCAGGAAACTCCTCGCGCTCGCCCCTACCACGACGAGACGAAACGGCCACCACCTAACCGTTAACTACTTTGCTTTGCATTACAAACCTGTTTTTCCTATATATTCATTCATCTTAATTGATGCCCTTCCATCCGTTGCTCTCTCCAGTCATTCACGCTCTTTCTTTTCTTCCTCCTAAATCTTCTCTCCCACTCGACAATGGCGGCTGCTTCTACTTCATCATTCATCCCCCTCAAGCCTCGCCCAACTCCGCGGGTAAACCGAGCGATACATTTCCCTCTGCTCACTTTACTCATTCAGTAGTCAGTACCCAACTGCGGAATTCAGTTTGATCTCTTAGATTCGCGGTTGAGAGAGCATCACATTTGATTGGATTTTGAGTTTTCTCAGGGGTTGTCGACGATCGCCGTCCTAAAATTGGGAGCTCCTCTGTCATTCAGCTTCCGCCGCCCTGTTCTGGCGCCTGCTCGCCTCCGGATCTCCTGCGTCGTGAGTCCTCTCCTTGAATTTTTTGATAGGATTTGTTCGAGAGATAAGGTACATTCTGTTGATATTCCTGCTGAAGTGGCTGTGTTTTAAGCAGGCGAAGCCAGAGACGGTGGAGAAGGTTGCCAAGGTCGTGAAGAAACAGCTTGCACTGCCTGCGGAGACTCTGGTGACCGGCGACTCCAAGTTCGCTGCACTCGGTGCCGATTCTCTCGACACAGTAAGCAGAAATTTTTTTCTGGTCTCCATCCCTGTTGTTAGGTATCTCTTCCCTATTTTGCGTTGCATGCGATGACGACCCCATTGGTTTGCTGCCTTTCAATCAGGTTGAAATTGTAATGGGCCTAGAAGAGGAATTCGATATCAGCGTCGAGGAGGACAGCGCGCAGTCGATAGCGACAGTTCAGGATGCAGCTGATCTCATCGAGGAACTGGTTCGGAAGAAGTGCGCTTGAAAAAGCTTAAGAAAGAAGAAATGAATGAATGATCCTCCTATTTCTCTCTAGTGCAGTTTCATGCTTGTTATCTCTGTAAGATGGAAGAAATGTGCTCTTTGGCTTGTGTGTTCTTTTCACCTCTTTCTTCCTCTCATGTAATAGAACACACTGTTTTAGTGTGTGAAATTTTCATGGCATCTAAATGTGAAAAAAGAAAATGCGGTTGCTTGTTAACTAGCATATCCAAAGATTTCTGCAAGCTCATCCTCGGACAAAGTATCCAAAGTTGGGGCATTTTTTGGATGCACAGAAGCTAGAAAGAGCCTGATGGGGGGAAGAAGGCTACATTTTATATGTGAAAGCGTAAATGAAATGAAACGTGCTTTCAAGTTATGTGGACCTTACGGTTCTTCTTACCCTACTTCGTTAAAAGGAAGTTAATTATGTACAGTGTGGTTGCGGGAGTTTTGATCAGAAGCTCTTCATTACACATAAATTTATTCCCAATCAGCATCGAAGAAGCCGGCATCTTTCATTTCTGAGTAGTACACATTCTCCAGATGCAAATCTTCCTCCTGCAGCAAAGCCATGCAAAATATTGAACAAAGACGGATTATGCAAACTGTTGTATCTAGATGCCGAATGGAAACAAGAGAACCAAAGGATAGGGAAGTAACCTGGAAAAAGTCTGCCAGAAAGGTTATATATATCAGAGGGAGGTAGAAGGCATGGTATGAGACTATGGTGGTGCTATACAGCCTGCATGTGCGTCGATAAGAAATTATAAGAGGGGGATCACAGTAAGAAGAGTAAGTTAAGAGTTGTTGAGGGGATCCGTGACAGAATAATTACCAGTAACCGAAACCAGATCCGCTTCCACTAATCCCACAGGCGAAGAGTGCCAGAGTGTTCAACGCAAACATTATCACGATGTATTTGTAGAATGCAGGTCTTGCTGCAAGAAAGGAATTTTTTAGGTAACTTCATGATAAAGAACACCGAGCAATCTTTCAGCCTTTTTCCACTCTGCTTATTCAATATGCATGACATGACATGAACTTACCAGGCAACCTTTCCCTCCACTTGGAATGATACATGAAAAGGATGAAGCCGTAAACTGCAGTAAGAACTAGCCGATGGACAGCCCACAGGCCCCACTTCATACGATTAGAGTCCTCGCCAATGTCGATAAACAAGGGAATCCCGAACCCAAACAAGTAAAGTGCCTGAAACAAAACAATCTTCTTGTTGATAAGCAGAGTAAAAAGGACTTTGAATGCTCGGTTGAACCAATACAGATACCTACCTTGAGAAGTATGTCTAACCCAACTACAATTGCAGAGACAGCGAAGGTCTTTGTCATTGCGTCCAGCCCACTCACGTAATTGCCTTCGAGTAAAAAGGCAATTAAGCTAACTTCCAAAAAAAGCATTCCAGATGTTGTAAACAGAGATAGCACATTCCATGTTTGTTCTTTTCCAGGAGTGCATTCCAATGCCTGCAAAAAAAAAACCAAGCAATAAAAAGATACAAAGCTGAGTCCTGTGAACAGAGACAAATATTATGAACTGTGGGATCATTCTAAGTTTTCACCAGCCATCAATTTCCCCATTTCGTTAACAGTTTGAGATCCACCTGCACCAATTATCACCTAAGACCACTGTACTCAAAGTAAGCTCAAACCTGCTATCCATAAGCTTTCTAATCCTAGCTAACAAGCACAAAGAAGGAAAGTTTCGAACTTAACTAGACAATGGATGCAAACAAAACCTGTAAGAGGGACCAACAGAGGTTGAGCAAGCTGACGAGCCAGAGACTACCGTAGTAAGCAACCATTATATGTGATCTCCCATTCGAGAGCTTGGTGAAGCTCTTCCTGGCCTGGAATGCGAGGTAGAGCACGAAACCTAAGGAAGCTAGAATCAGAGTGACGTTGTGCAAAAATCCGTGGCACTCGAACAGCCAATTGAACAACCCTGGAGCGCCGGTGTTGAAAACCTCGCCATGGGTGAGAGTTGAATTAGGGTTTTGGGGAAGAACCGAGATTGATAATTGAGAACCAGTGCCAGGGACTTCTTCCCCGAGATAGCGCATCTCTTTTACACGGCTGGCGGGGAAGGACCCAAAGAATTGGTTTTGGTCGCTGGGAAGATTGTGAATAATGATTTGGTTTTTGATTGACCGCACAAGGAAGAAGGAAGACACAGAGAGCTTCTGGTTTAGAAGTTGTGACGACGACGACAGAAGAAAATAATGCGATTGATGGGAGAACGATCAACTAAAGAGAAAAAACCAATGTTCTCGTAAGTCGTAACAAGCCGGTGCATTACCCTGTAATTTAAACGACTCGCATTGTAATGATTCTAGAACTCGCAAATTACAACCCGACTGGTTGATCCAATTCGAAACCGTCCAAAAACTAGAAATTTTTGTAACCCGAAATTCGAATGACCCGAATCCGATAACTCGTGATTTTTTAGGTCAGGTGGGTTACTGGGTCGACCCGTTAGACTCGTTCCATTTTATATATCACTCCCAAAATGATAAAATCACTCATAAATCGGTGAGATGTTTAAAAAAATCACAATGATTTGAATGACATGTTTGGAGTTTAAGGATAATCAAATATCATGTGTTTCTTGTAGTAGTAGTATTACTCTTCTGATTGTTTTTGGATGATTTGCGCAATTTGTATTTCATTTTATGTCAGCATGGGAGGATTTGAGAATATGTTAATTGACATGTGTTAGGTAAACTATTGTCATGCATATGTGAAAATTTGTGTTCTTTAAGAAAATATGAAACATGTTTGATATTGTTTGTGAGAACGCTCATAACCCGAAATGACCTGTAACCCGACCCGAAACCGAATGGGTTGGGTCAATATTTAACCCGAAATCAGCCAATCAAATATGACTCGACCCGTAACCGAAATTCCCAACCCGAAATTACCCAACCCGACCCGATTGCCAGGTCTAAATGGTTCAATTGGTATTGGGCTATTAAAAAACGGTTAAAGAACCAATACCTTATAATTAATATGATAACATAAGTAAAAAGACACATAAAATATCTATTTTATAATTAAAATGAAATTTAATTTGCAAGTACCATTTAGTAATTTCACATTATATATATGGTGCTTTTATATATATATATATATATATATATATATATATATATGGTTCAGACTAGCGTACGCGTGACGTACGCTATATACCTGTGTTCACACCATTAATTAATATTAATTAAGTTTAAATTAATTATCAATAGCAATCGTAATTACAACAAGATCCATTATTTTATTATTTTATACAATATAGTTATTTTATTATTTTATACAATATAGTCCCATGAACCTTCCTAATTTAAAGATTCAGCATCCCCAAATTGGAACTCCCTCGCTCTTCGCTACCTACAATGGCTTGGAATAAAAACATGAAAAGAAAGATCTGCAGATCAGTATTAATGTCTTGTAATAAACGGATTAGTGTTCTTGACTTCTCGGTCTTCTTTAATGGTTCACTCATCTCGACGCCCAAATCGTTGCAGAGCTGAGCCCGTTAGCTCTCGATGACGGCCGAGTAGAAGACGTCGATCCAATTAAGGCAACATGCATCTGAATCCTGTCCGTGGATACCGTCGTGTAATCTATCAGAGTTTGTTGCAGATTCTACGAAGCTGAATTGGGAAGTAGGAACGGTCATTTGCTTTGGACTCCCATCGGCGATGTGAGTGAGAATGGTGAAAGAGATTGATTTTGTTTTAATGGCGGGAACGATGAATTGGTCGAAATTTGGTAGTGATAGAGAATATCCGGGGTTGGATCCATCATTCTAGACTCTAGTCTTCTCGATGGCACCACCGCGAGGATATCCGGGGTAGGAGTTGTCGTTGTTGGCGATGAGGGTGGTCGAGGTGACACATGTTGTTCTAAGAGGCGGCCTGTTATCCTTTTACAATGCAATTAAGAGTGAGCTTTGATTAAACGTAAAACAATTGCCTGAAAATGCACGGGTGTGTTTGGTTGTCTTTGATTGAATGGTGATTGGTGAATACTAAATAGTGTTAGTGAATTGGATTTTGCGGACTACTGCATAACGAAGGGTAAAAATCATTGGAGTGTTAAAGCATAAACAACAATTAATTAATGGAGTGGGTTGTAATTATGAATATTAGTATTAAATATTTAATAATTAATTATTAAGTGTGAACACAAGCGTATTGCGTATTGGGTGTACGCTAGCCTTATATATATAGAAAACGCTACACGCCTACATCCACATAGGGCGCCGCCTTCTCCTGGTCTCACAACCCTCTCAAATCTCATCAAAACCTCCCTCCTTATCTTCTCTGTTTGGAATTCACAGAAAACTCCATCAATCGAACCTCGACAAGAGCAAAGCTTCCCCTACGTGCCAATCCATCTTATCAAATCCCCATCGCCGGAAGCTCTCGCCTTCCTCTTCCTCTCCTGTCATCGGTATTTTTCTCTCTTCCCATCGGTCATCTTCCTCATTGTGTGCGCAGTTCTCTGACGACGGAGCAGATCAGTCCACTTGATGAATCGAACTTCGAAGCAAATAAACCGAACAAGTGTGTTGACTGACCCATCTGTGATTTTTGGTTCTCCGATTTGGGGGAGTTTTCTTCTTTTTTTTCCTTTCATAACGCGACAGGCGAAGGTGTGGTTCTCGTTGTTGGGACTATTGATACGAACCGGCTGGTCGGTTCGAATGGTTCAAACGATTAGCCTTTCTGACCGTTCAAAAACCACCCTTTCTGACCGTAGCGACTTTTAGAGTGTTCCGAGCCGGCCTGATGACCGGGTGGCGATTTTAACGGTCTAACCGATCTGCTCGGTTTGGCTTTAACAACACTGGAAAAAACAGATGGCCAATATTAATTTTTTAAGGGCTAATTATCATCGGTATTGCTATTCATCGCTCTAAAATTTCTTATTTCTCGCCCTAATTAAATTAAATTTACTTTAATATCCTTAGTTCATTTTATTTATCTTGCAAATAATTAAACTCAAAACAAACTTATACACTACACAAGATAAGAAAATATAATCAAGAAACAACAACGAGCCAGAAGAAGAAACGTAAACACAAGGGATGGATCTTGCCCCCAAAGAATTATGTGCCACTAGGTTAGTCTCATGTATTTTGAAAATGTACTCGTCACGAATTTGTTTAAGTTCGCGATTCTGTCCACTAGAACCTAGGTGGTCCATTATTTTCAGAATTTTTTTGCATAACCATCACCAAGTTTCAAAATGATGACGATTACATCTAAACATCCTCTCTTCCATAGAACGTGGGCAGTCCTCTCGTCTATTTTATCGAATTTTGGTCCTTTAAAGCTGTATAGGTTGTATGCAAGCCAGGAATCTTCATTCATCTCCACGTTTGGATCAATAGAATATGCAAGGCTCTGCTCAATCTCATTTTGGAAATGTTTGAGGACATTATATGTGTAGATCGTCTTAACCTGTTTGGTTAAGATGTTTTATGTGCAACGAATAGGAGGTGCTTCATTCACGAGTTGAAATTCGCACTCTTGTTGCCTTTCTCTTTTCCGGTCCAACAGTCTGTCGAAATGATAAATTTTTTTGAGAAATTGTGTGCTGACTTCAAGTGTATTTGTAGGGTGTTGTTGCATGATTCACTTAGTTGAGAACTCCTCATGTCGTTTGTCCTATGTTCTCTCAACCAAAGTGTAAACCATTTGTGCCTGCGTTGAATTTAAATTACTGAAATGAGTACAATTCACTCAATATAAGTGACACTTAGCAAGACTAAAAGGGCATTGGTATGCGGTACCACTGTATTTGTACCACTGTCAGCTACTACTACAAAACATATTGAAGATGCTACCACTAATAATGTACCATTGTGCTGATAATAGTTAACTTACCGGTATTTATGGAGCTTGGCAAGACAACGGTGTCTATCAGGGCCTTTTCCAGGATAATATTTGTCTATCATTCGATTTCACCCATGATTGAACTCCCCCTCGATATCCACGTTGTACATCAGATATTGAGTCTCTTGCTTCAGACCAGAGTTATATAGTTTAGACCCAATATTAGTCATCCCATTCTGGTGTATATTCCAGATACATAGTGCATGGAATGACTCATCAAACAACTCTTTAATTCCAAGAGCTATCGTGTTTTTCTGGTCAGAGAAGATCGATTTTGGTTGTTTGCCTGACATGCATCGGAGGAAACTATAGCCAAGAAAAAGAGGATGCAGTTTCGTTGTACACTAGACTCGCTCCGAATACACACAACTCTCTGTGATGGTTGAATCCAACAAATAAACATGCAACAAATGGTATGAATCATCTGTACCACTAGCTTACTACCGATATTAAGTACCAGTAGCTTACTACCAATGATAAGCACCCGTGCATCACTCATGTGAAATTATAAGTACCAATGCCACAAAATCTAGATTACTAGTTTCAAATTGGTATATGTTACCACTGACATACCTAATGGTATGCATCTTTGGTTCGTCCTGTAGGTCTGGTCAAAACTTATTGCGTCGCCAAAGCATTCATAATCAAACTGCATCCTACCATCCGCAAAAAATACAGTTACAATCTCATCATCCTCATCGACTTGCATCTCATAGCAAAATGATGGGTCCCATTTTGTCTTCTTCCTGAAATACTTGTGCAGAACTCTTGCATCGCCCTTCTCCATTCGCCTGTTTCTTGCCTTGTGTATAATTCTTTAGATCCCTCTTGTGAACGGGGGATTTTCCTTCCCCCCAGTAGTAACAACAAATGAATCATAAGAGTTCTGAACGGGGATCCCAGCACAATCATTTATTTCGACAAAGTATGCATATTCTATTGGTACTTCACGATCTGAGCGCATAAAGCGTCTTGATAAGGCATTGTGCATTTCGTGGTCATGCTCATCTATCTATCTATAAATCCTGTACTTCCGGGACGACTTCTCGTACTTGCACATAGTAATAGCTTGGCACCCAAAACGAGTCTCCTCCTTTCCCTTTCTTTAGGAAACTCTGAGTCAATGACCTCTTTTGCATTTTTCGTACCTAGCCTGCTACATGTTTTGTACCCTCGTTTGCTGCACTTACCTTCAAAATAGGATATGAATGGTTTTGAAAAGTATGACTTTTTTCTTCACTGCTCCAACAACGCTTGACGAGAAGCCTCCTCCATGAGCAAAACACTTGTAGAAACTGTTAAATTCATCTTAACTCTCGAAAACGCAAGTGATCCCATGTGATTCGGGCCTAATTACACATGTTTTGCCCCGTTTGACTTAGATGTTTGTGCCAATTTCGTTCATTAAAGGTTGGTTTTACGCGAGGTTCTTCGTATTTGATTGCTTTTCGGGATTTAACAGGTGGAACCAGCCTCGAAGTCGAAAGATTGGCGAAAAGGATCGAAAACCGGGAGAAGAGGTGAAAAAGGGCCAGTTCACGGCTAAATGAAGGAGTTCACGGTCATGCAGACCGTGAAGAAGGGGAGTTGACCGTGAAGAGCAAGGCGTCCAGAGCCAATTTGAAGGTTACTGACGCAAGGAGAGTTCATGGTCACTAAGACCGTCAGCACAAGCAGTTGCCCTTGAACTAGCGTGAGCGATGCAGAGCGTTTTGGCGCGCGGCTCGAGTTCACGGATGCGTTTGATGGTTCACGGCCGTGAACCCAGCTCTTCTCGAGTTTAAAACCTGAGCTGCAAGGAGGAGAGAGGGAGAGCCCACTTTTGTGAGAGAAGCACCTTCTTTAGCATTCTAGTGAGAGAAACATAACCAAAGAGAATAAGAGGTTAGAGTTTGGCTTCAAGGCAGATTTTGGGAAGATTTCCCCAAGGAGATCTCAGGTCAAGGGTCAAGAAGAGAGGAGGCATCCCCAAAAGATGGTTTCCACTTTTCTTCTTTTGTTCTTCCCTTTTCTACCACAGAGTAGTCCTCCTTTTACTTGGGTGTTATGAAATCCTAACTCTATCATGTAGTTTTCTTGTATGTGGTTTGGATGATTGATATTGGGTATTGTTCAATTCAATGTTTGAGGCATTTTTCACCATGATTGTGTATGCTTGTGCTTAGCAACATAGGGGTTGTGCATGTGTTGTGCTTAGCATCCTAGTGATTGTGCATAATTGTGCTTAGCACCCCTAAGTTTGTACATTTAGATGCTAGTAATCTAATTTGCCACCTTAGCCTAGTTTAGAGAGGAAAATCCCCCTTTCAAGGGAGACTCAATCGAGTTGGTTTTCCTTCCGCTTTCTAAGCCACCTAAACTAGGTTGAGTTAGGGCAACCATCAATGTTGAATTAAACAAGTCGATTAATCATGGTTAAACCGTCTGACCTTAGAGTTGAGTGAGGGAGTAAGTCGATTACCGATTTTCTAAACTGAGAGGGTCGAGTGACACGACCTTTCATCCTCACTTCGGTTTAGCAATTGAGACTGTGGTCTCTGACCACATACGCTTTCCTCTACGGTTCACGATTAATGTGCCCAAGGCAATCGTTCCAATCCACGTAGCATGGTAGCGGTTAGGGGGAAGCGAAACCCAAGTGACTTTCCCACAAAAGATTTTCCAGACCAAATTACCTTTGCTTTCTTTCATTTCAATTAGCAAAACTTTAAACCAAAGCTTTATCGCTAGATATTACTTGTCTACCACTATAACATACTACCACTAGCTAACTACTGGTACCATTCTGTTTTGCCATTAGTTGACCATTAAAAAACAATTCCAGCTGAACGAAAGCCCTAATGTCTAATTAACCGTACCAAGATTGTTGGCGCCGGTGACATTCTCCATGCCGTCTCCATCGTATTTAATGACTGGGTGCGGCTCGCAGTCGTCGTTGTTCTCCACGTTGACGTTGTTCGTCCTTTCGCAGTTTTCCGACAACTCTTCGATAAACAACTCCTCCACGTCGAAAACAGCGACATCATCTCCCATTAAAATATCATTACCATTCTCCACCTCTTCAACTCCCACATCGCCGTTTTTCTTGTGTATGAGACATTGAGGTCAAACCCAAATAAACAAGTTCGTTCAGCTCCCACCCCATCGACGTTGCTCATGTAGCCGTTCATTATCTCGGCGGCAACAATAAGGTATTGCCGGAGATGTGTAGCTACCAGACCTGTCGTTGCTTTTGCTGATAAAAAATCTGGAAATGGTAGGGGAAGAGACGCAGATGATTATGGTTAGTCGAAATGCATCCCACCAATCACGTTGCAAAATATTTTCACATGCATTTATTTTTTATTTTCAAATTATTTTCTTTAAGCTAGTTACTAAAAAAGCTCTTGCTGCGTTATGAACCATCAGATGAAGAAGCCAGATGGGAGATAGACAGTTGGAAACAGGGAAGCGAAACTCACAATCCGTGCTTGGGAAGTGACGCTATCCTATGGGAGTAAAAAATTGAATTGTTTAGGAACATACATGGGCTGCCATTGGGCTCGACAAGTGGACAGAAGACAAGTGAGCTCTCTCATTAAAGGCCCATCGTCAGCCCAAGAGTGAGAAATTACCACCAAAGTTTACTGCGCAACGGGATTAATAAAAAGATTAAAATCCCGGATCGCCGGCAGATTGAACGCTTTTCGGTAGGTGGAAGGATAAATTCTAGAACTCTGTGCTCGGCTTCCAATTGCTCCACTTTTTATGGGGTCCGGATCACCTCAGTAACCATCCCATCAGTAACCATCAGTAACCCCTTCCCCTGGCCCCCACGTGTCAGCTTTTTCTTTTTATTTAAAAAAAATACGGAGGGGCACTAAGGTAAAATTGCACCCCCTATTTAATGATGTCTCTGACGCGCTGACGCTGACCAGAGCACATCAGCGCCTTCTCTCTCCTCAAACAACCTTTAATTTTCCTTCTCTTAATCTTTAACGGACGATTTCTCACTCGTTTTAAGTCGGAATTTAATTTTTTTTGCACAGTTAGATCAGATTAATTGTGCTCTTCAAAATGATATCCACTTTGATATTTTTCAGACATAAAAAAATTTGTCAGTTATTACCAGTCATTACCATATGGTAATGACTGGTATTGACCATACCATATGGTATGAAAAAATTTGTCACATCAATATATATTACGTTACCACCCAATACCGTATGGTATAGTGTGGTAATATCAATATATATTTCGTTACCACCCAATACCATATGGTATAGTGTGGTAATATCAATATATATTTCGTTACCACCCAATACCATATGGTATAGTGTGGTAATATCAACATATGGTAAATCTAACTACCATACAATACCACCATAGTAGAACATGGTTAATCGAATGAACACACATTAATTGTAATTACCATACAATACCACATGGTATGAGAAGGTAAAACCATACAAAAATAATATAAATCTAATTACAATCCTTTACGACCATAGTAAAACACGATATCCATAAAAATACATTTCGTTACCACACTTTACCATATGGTATAGACACATTACCATATGGTATATACACATTACCATATGGTATATACAAATTATCATATGGTATAGTGTGGTAATCTCGGTATATATATATATATACAATTACGACTCTCTTCACTTTCTTCTCCAGCTTCATTGTCTTCTAACTCTTTTTTCTCAAAACTGGAGTCGATTACCACCCACTACCACCATGATAAAACTCGTGACCATAAAGATACATTTAGTTATCACACATTACCATATGGTTTAGTGTGGTAATACCAATACATATTACCTACAAGGAAGAAAACAGAAGGAGGGAGAGACAAAAAAAACTCGTCTTCTGTCTCCTCTGCAATCAAGAACACCAAATGCAACAACAAAAAAGAGGAGGAAGATCGGAATTGAAAATTCACAAACAAATACTAAAATATAAAACATGCAAACTTAACTCACATAGATCCGTCCCCTCTTTGTCAATATGGAACGTCATCTATTTTGAGGCCGAGAAAAGAAAGAACATAAGGAAGAAACAGCTTCAAAGAGATTAGATCTAGAGAAGAAAGAGATTGGCAGAGAGAAAGGAACAAAGAAAGAGGAGATTGCTAGAGAGAAAAATGAAGAACAGAATAAGAGATTAGATCTAGAGAATAAGGAGAATGAGAGAGAGAAAGGAACAAAAAAAGAGGAAAATAGAGTTGCAGAGATAAGACACTAACTCTCTCTCCTCCATGCAAAAGCAAACTAATAAATGTTGGACAAATTAAAAAAAGGAAACAATTAAAAATTCAAAAAGCGGACAGAAATACCCCTCATCACCCCGTATCAATCCCAGCCACATGATCGCTCCGTCCTAGATCAACGGCTCTGGGTGAGTTACTTACAGATCAGTAACCAGTGGTTACTCACTGTATCCCAAGCCCTTTTTATGTTACTAGTATATTAACCAGTCAGTCAAAGAACCACAGCTCTACCGCTCAGTCGAACTCGCCTTATTCATTTCCCCCACTGCTCCTAGCTCTCTTCGTCTTCTTCATCCTCATCCGTGAAAAAAAAAACCAGGGGGTGTTCTGAGGTAAGCGCGCGTCGTTTCTTGCTTCTTTCCTTCCACCACTTCCAGATATTCCGAAGACGATAACGTTCTTGATTCGGCTTTTCGCCACAAAATCTCGTCTCCGATCGGAGTTTATTGGCCATTTCTGTTGTTTTGTCGTTTCTCTGATTCTTCTTTCCCTGACGATCTGTGTATTTTCGGTTGGATTTCTGGTCTTTTTTTGTTGCTGTGTGACGGTTTGTTTCTCACTTGCTCGAGCATTCAGTCGAGCGATTTTGAGCTGGCGCTTTCTGCTTTGTTTGGCTGTGGATAGAGCGGTTGCTTCGTGGTCGTAGATCACGACATAGTTCCTGATTGAACACTACTTTTGGTAAAGGATAGGATGACGTTGATGGCGAAGCTGATTTTATAGAGACTGTAGTTCGTTCTTCTTGAAGAATTTGATGATGCGTAATTGAAATAACACACGGGACACAAGATTTTACGTGGTATCCTTGATCGATTGATTGATCGAGACTAATCCATGTTGAGCTTGAAAGAGCTCACGACTGACGTTTTATTAAACGGCTACATTGTGACAACTTGCTTATGACAGAACCATAGCTAAGCTTTTATAGAGAAACACTTAGGGTTAAAACCCTAACGAGAAGAACCGAGTACGGCTAATTATCTGTACCCACTACAACTCGGACAATGCCCAACGAAGCCCATGACTGACACGGTTTATTAACCGCAACACTTCTTACGCTGTAGCAGCTTAGCTTGTCGTTCTTATGGCGATGTATGTCTTGTAGAGACTGTAGTATGCGTTTTAAGCCTTGGCTTGTTGTTCTTTAGTTGTATTCTGACAACGATGGACTAGAGGAGAGATTGAGTGCCCTAACAAATAATGAAGAGCATGGTACATTAAGTATCAGTTGAATGATACGCGGTAACTCTTTGCTTTTGGTATTTCATGGACTGATTGACGAACTAGATTTTGTTGTAATCTGCAATTGGTTGGGTGCCTTCAGATGCCAGGATTGCAGCTTGTTTTTCAACAGAAATCTTTTGGAACAGATTCCAGTTCTTGCCTTTTTTGGATAGTTGATTTGATTTGTTGAGCTTTAGCCTTGAGATGTGCTTATAGATTCGTTGTAGTGGTTACTTTCTGGTCTGAAATTGATGTGCAGTTTTAAATCCTGTCCATTTAGATCACATTAGAGCAAAATGGTGAAGGCAGTTGTTGTGCTTGGAAACAGTGATGGCGTCAAAGGGACTGTCTACTTCACCCAGGAAGGCGATGGTAAGAAATTCAATATGGTATTTACTTGGTGGGCATTCAAGTGTGATTTGTAGTCTCTTTTGGTTTATCGTCCTGGCTTGGTTGCTCTTCAGGTCCTACCACCGTGACAGGAGACATCTCTGGTCTCAAGCCTGGCCTTCATGGCTTCCATGTCCACGCCATGGGAGACACAACAAACGGCTGCATGTCAACTGGTACATATCAATTACCCTTTGTGCTTACTCCTGGATTCTACGAGAATGCGTTGTACTCATCTTGCGTTTTTGCTTGTGCAGGCCCACATTTCAATCCTCACGGCAAAGAACATGGAGCTCCAGAGGATGAAGACCGCCATGCTGGTGACCTGGGAAATGTTACAGTTGGAGATGACGGTATGGCTTTTGATTGAATGATTCTCTGGTTCCCATTACCGTGGTTGATGAATGTTCTTTTTCCATTTGAAGTATGATGGGATTTGTTACTGAAAATTGTCTGCAGGTACTGCAACTTTCACTATTGTTGACAAGCATATCCCTCTTACTGGTCCACACTCCATCATTGGTAGGGCTGTTGTTGTTCATGCTGATCCTGATGATCTCGGAAAGGGTAATATATCACTTCCCATTTACAATTTTGCTGTGTACTTCACATCTAGTCACAATAAATTTGTTAATAAGGAATGTTTAGTGTTACATATGCTGATATGAATTAAACTTCTAAAGGAATTTTGGGAATCTGGCACTCAGCTCGCCTCTCAGAGGCCTTAAATTGCTACTTGCTGCAACATGAATGGATGATATAGGCTTGCTATCCTTAGTATGCTGATACAGTCACGGCTGCCTAGGAGCTAGGCTATTGTTTCAAGGCTTAGTGCTCCGTGTTTCATTTCCGATCTAAGCCTGTGTGACTCACTGGATGCTTTTTTATTTTTTTTGTGTGTGTTAAAAAAAACAGGTGGACACGAACTCAGCAAGAGCACTGGCAATGCTGGTGGAAGGATTGCTTGCGGTGAGTTTAGAATGATTCGAATTCTGAGATTGGAATGAGGTCATTCATTTGTATCTACCCGATTTGGGTACTGACCCGATTATCTTTGACAGGCATTATCGGGCTGCAAGGTTAAGAGATTTGGCATCACTCAGGTTTCCTTGGCTGCTTGAATAAATGGTAAAAATGCTCGATGAATGTCGAACGAGTCAATGTTGTCAAGGGAGAGAGAGATAATATGTGTGAGTGATAAGGAAAAAACGGGGAAAAGAACGGGAGAGAACCTTCTTGAATAAGAGAACAAGAACTCTACTTTGGTGTACCTTCTTTATAGCTGGATTTCTGGTTAATCAGCTTGTAGTTTGATTTTCTTACATTGGAATGTGAGGAATATATGAAGTCTCTAGTTCACCTCTTACTCTCTGAGATGCGAGGTAGTCGTTGAATGGGAGTCAACAATGTTTGTGCGTTGCCTTGGCAGCGGCGTTAAACCGCCCCGCAACTTAGGACCAACCCACCAGAAATGACAATCGAAACAACTGCGGTTGGCTAGATCTTGTGGGTTGGTTGCAGCAGCAGGTGTTAAGGTGGGCGGATCGTGGGTAACCCGATGATCTTGCATACTTCTAAGTTCTAAGAAATTGTGCTGTTGGTGGAAGATGAACTTACAATCTCTTGAAATCCTAATAAAGGGTACAAAACTTGGATGTGGAAATGGGGATCAGGTAATTAAGAAACGACGCCTATTTTCATTCCCCACTAGTTTTTTTTAATAAAAATATATTTCCCAGAAAATAGAAAAGGGGGGATCATGTATAGTATAAGGATAGTAATCGCCTAATCGGTTTGTCGTTTATCGGTATAATCGGTAATCGAACAGCTAATCGGCATGGGAAATCCAGTAATCGGTACATCGATCCCTTCCCTTAATAACAAGCGGTAAGAGCCTCAACCTAATGACCTCTTTTCCTTCTAGCAGGGTTGGCTCGGTCCAATTAGCTAGTTTTTTGGGGTTTCTTTGACCCTTGCCTCTCTCTGCTTTTTTCTGTTTTGTTTTTCCGCAGCTGTGTATGGCTGTTGTTTTTTTTTCTTTCTGTTCCATTTTGTGTCTGCTGGGTTTTTGGTTCACCCTTTTGTGAACCTTAGCCCGCTTTTCTCTGTACGGTTCCTCTTTTCCTTCTAATGCAATTCTATCGCCATTATCAAAAAGAAAAAAAAGAAAAAAGACCTCTTTAGGTACTACATTGATCTTCAACCCTCTTGCTAACTCAAAAAATCTCTTGACATGCTCTCGGGGTGATTCATCTTCAAGTCTATGAATTTGTATGTTTTTGTAAATCATGGTGATGAGGTTGAGCTTTATCTCAAAGTTAATGGCTGCCACGGGCGGATGCAAGATGTTGGATTGAATATTCATCACTCACGGTGCCATGTAATCAACGTTACAAAAACCACGCGTAATTATCATAAATGGTTATAAACCTATTCACTTTGTACAAAATGGTCATAAATCTTCAATTTTGCACATTTCAGTTAAAAAAAAAATTTAGTGAATAACAAATTGGTCAATCCGCCCACTTCCATTCAAAATTCCATTTAATTAGCATAACACGTCATTAAAAATATTAATAAGAAAATGAGTAAAAATACCAGTTAACCTGCACAACCCATCTCGAACTACCGAAACCATCACCGCCATCATCCTTAACAACATCACCGCCGCAGATCTGATCGAGAAGAAGCACCAATCTCATGGCGAATGCCCCGTCGAACCCAGGCTTCGCCGTCAACGATAACACGTCCTTCCCCAGCACCATGTTCGTCGACGCGTCAACCTTCTGCCGGATCTCCGCACCACCGCTCTCCTCGCCGCATCGATCACCGTACAGCTCCGGCTCCAGCAGCTCCCTTCGATCTCATACTCCTCCCTTGGGTTCTCGTACACCTACACGCTCATCCTTGAGCGTCCGATTATTCGAAGACCGTCTCACGATGAACGTTGCCTTCTGCCCTTCCTTCCTCTCCCCCAGAAATCCTTCCCACCGCTGATGCAGACTCGGCTCTGCCAACCGAAAAACAGAGGGGAAACAAAGAAAATTGATGCGGAAGGTCCTGACTCGGTAATGAGATACTGAGAGTGCGTATTGTTCTTGTATTGGGTTTACCTTCTTTCGGAAAGTGATTAAGCAGCGGTCGTGGGGACCCATGAGGACGAGCTCGTCTCTGTCCCGGGCGTCGAGCTCGCACGAGTCAACTCGTAAGACCAACTCGCCGTTGCTGCAATCGTACACGGTGAATCCGTCATTGGCATAGAGCAACGAGGTTTCGAAAATGGTGAAATTCTTCTCTTCCTGATTCACGAATCCCCCGTTGTCAGCAATTCCTCTGTTTATTTCCTTCATTCGTGGATGGAGATCGGAGCAATTGGGGTTTAAAAATAGGACGGAGCCGGCCGAGATTGGGAGAGATGTATAGATAGAGAGAATGCGGAGGGAAGGAATAGAGAGGGAATGAAGAAGATTGTAGCAGCTTCAGCACAAGGTCACTGTTAATTTTAGTGCTAATAATCTTCTTCCACCTCCTCCTCCTCTGGGAATGGCGACTGGAGATATGGCAGCGAAAAAGAAATTTTTTGGAATGGTGGGATACAGAGATAGGACGGTGGTGGACTGGTGGTCCAATACTTGTGATTCGTTGTTTGGTTAATGACGTGTCACGCTAGTCTAGGTAAGAGTTAACGGAATTTTGGATGGAAGTGGAAGGATTGACCAATTGGTTATTCACTCAAATTTGTGTTACTGAAATGTACAAAATTAAATGTTTATCATCATTTTGTACAAAGTGAATAGGTTTATGATCATTTATGATAATTAGCCAGAAACCACAATTAAGCGCCCGAGTAAGCAAGCCTAGGCGCTGGGCAGCCCTAGAACGTGACGACTATCCATTCCGCGGTGGATAAAGTGTTAAGGGAACTTCCTTTGCATTTTGTCATTTTTACGACCTAGTTTGAGAATGGGCTTTGCACGGACGAACTTACAAAGATAACATGAATTGTGGGATCACCTAATTTGTTTTAGATCGTTATTAGCATTAAACTTCATTAGGCATTTTTAGTTTTTTTACCCAATAACATTCGTAAGTATTCTCAATTGGATGCACATAATATTTATCTAAGACAGTTGAAAGCATTAAGCGTGAGCTTTGCTTAAAAATTACATGGATAGAATATTTTTATAACTAGTTTAGTGTTAAATGTTCATTAGTAAGTGTTTGTATGCAACATTTTGTTATAAAAATTTTGTTATACAACTTGGGATTCAATGAACTTGAGATTCTCTAAAATTGTAATCCATTTTGTTTGTTGTTATGTGTTAGTTAGCTATTAGTAAAACAACATCAAGATATGAAAAGCAACACTCAATATTCATAAAAATACCTCAAACATTATATTAATCACTAATCCACAGAGTTCAACTCTTACAATCTAACACATCATAGACTAGGGTTTCCAATATCCAAGTGAATTGAGAGACTACTCCATAACTAGCTAGAAAGGGAAATACAACAAAGATGGGAGAGAAAACCATTGTGAGATGATCATTCTTCCTTCTAGTGCTTGATTCATCCTTTGGAGAAGAAATCTTCAACCCTTTAACTTTGGGTAAGTCCAATCCTCCTTCTTCTTCTTAACTCGACACTTTCTCTATCTACTTAAAGAAGAAGATCCACATCTCACTCTAGAACTCCCTTTATGTTTCATCTCTCTATCTCTAGTCGGGCTCGTTTCACAATTAGATATCACGCTCGTGATGTCGAAGGTCTAACCGTGATCTCGGCGCAAAATGCGGTGTTTTACTAATCAACATCATGGGCTACTGTAAATTGTCACGGTTTGGTGACTTTGACTTGCCCGCGAGCCATCAAAAACCTCCTAAAAGTTGTCCAATGTCACGGCCAGACCTCCATCTTCACGGTCTGCTGCCCGTGCTGGGCGTGATCTCTGCATTTTGTCCATCTTCGCTCTATTTTCGCCCTTTTTTGTTTGACTTTTGATCTCTAAGTTAATTCCACCTGTTAAGATATGAAATATACTAAGACACGCACAAACATAGAGCAAAATTGCTCATCGGTCGATGCAAATGCCACAAAAGTTACAAGATAAAATGTACAAATATTTGCAATCACACCCGAATCAATAATCCAATAAATTTTCTTTACATATCCATAACTAGGGCTGTCATTTCGGTTGCCGGTTAGCGGCTAACCGGCCGGTCTAACCGTTCACCGCCGGTTAGCGGCTAATCGGAAACCGAAAAAAACAAGTGTCGGTCGGTTGTCGGAGGTGGTTAGTGGTTAGGCGGTTAGCCGAAAAACCGATACCGGTTAACCGGCTAACCGACGCTAACCGACCGACCTAAACGACGTAGTTTTGCCATCCCTAAAACACCCCAACCCTAGCAGCCTGGCCTTCGTTCCTCCCTCACAAACACATCGGCCAATCCATCGCCCAGCCGCCTCCACACATCGCCCAGCCGCCTTCTCAGCAGCGGCGACGACTCCCCTCCCCTGCGCCCCGCCGCCTCCACACTCCCATCTCGGCCATCCCGTCGGCGACGACTCCCCTGCGTTCCTCCGCCCTCACCGCCTCGCCTCCACCCTACCATCTCAGCCGATCTAATCGGCAGTACCCCAGGTGGAGAGATCGGAAGGTTGTAGAGGACGGTGTAGGAGGCGAGGAGGGAGAGGTGCTGGGAGGGCGAGTTGAGCATGGCGGTCTCGAGCCGCTGGGCGACGTGGCGGAGGTCGGATGCGCAGACCTTGTACCCGGCTCTGGCGAGGAGGCCGTCGATTGGAAACGCGGCGGTCTCGTATGGAAAAAAAGGAATTAGGGGTTTTGTTGCTGGGTAAAGGAAAAGAAAAGGAGAAGGGGAGCAGAGGCCAGAGGGATTCTTTTCTAAATGGAGGGTTGGCGATTGGAAACGCGGCGGTCTCGTGTGGAAAGGAAGAGGAATTAGGGATTTTGTTGCTGGGTAAAGGTAAAGAAAAGGAGAAGGGGAGCAGAGGGATTCTTTTCTAATTGGTGGGTTTTTTATATAATTTTGTTAATTTAGTTTTTTTTTTGCTGGTCGGTCGGTTACTGGTCAGTTACCGGTTAGGTTTAGGTGTCAGACGAATCGGCCTTTGTTTTTCGTTCCCTCCGGTTAAACCGCGGCAAAACCGAAAACCGATCGGTCGGTTGGCGGCTAACCGAGGCTGGAGGACGGTCGGTTGGCGGCAGCAGTTGGTCGTGTCTTGGTTTAACCGATAACCGAGATTTCGGTTTTCGGTTAAACCAAACCGACCGGTTGCCAGCCCTATCCATAACTAACCCCTTTTGCGATAATAGCCAATAACAGGCAAAATCCGCTACAAAAGATTCCGATGACTCCCAAAAAGAACACAAAACAAATATTGTTGAGATATGCAATCGTGGAAAGCGTCAGAACAGAATATACCAACTAAAAAAGGTGGAGTGAAACTAACTATAAAGAAAAGAATCGCCACCCTTTCTATGTCCTTCCAAAATTGGCCAAAAACCCAACTGCCTGTGCGTCTCTCTTTCCAAATTACCATTTCCCTCGCAAACAAGAAACGGACTCCATACATACAGTACTGATCCTGCAAAATTCCAATTTCAATACGTTGATCCTACAAAATCCTCTCCTACCTCTCACTTCACACGGAAACTATTCTTCGCGTCTCCCTATAGATAGATAGATAGATGTAGAGAGCTAGCGAAGCAAGCAAATTCAAATCAGGTCAAAGAAAACATGGACAAGAGAATCTCAGCAGCACTGAAGATGAAGCTTGGTTTCCTCTTCTGCATCCTTGTGCTGGCCACCACTTCCTCAGCAGGCGGTGAGTCTTCTTCTTAATTATATATATTTTCTTCCACGTACGTACGGTCGGAGGCTGAGTTTCCTTACTAGTGATTTTCTTTCCTCTTCTTTCTGTGTTTTTATTCTTGGATCTATATATTAATTAGGTGCGGCGGCGGCGGCGGCGCAGATGAAGAACAACAGTGGAGGTAATGAGAGTGCGGTGGTGCCAGATTCTGACGAGGAGTATTGCCGACTTGTGGTATGCAAAGGGCTGAACTGCGGCAAGGTGTACGCAGCCGACGGAAGCTGTTGGTGTGTTCTCAAGCAAGGCCCACTCGTCGCTTTGCCTTGCGCCACTTAGCTATCTACCTACCTTACCCTTCATTATATATATAATAATGGCTGCAGAAGCTTCAAATGAATAACCAGCAGAGCAGTACGTACTTGAGCTCGTGCCATGACATCATCTATGTGAAAGGGGCCCGAATAGGTGGGTAAAATGGTAGATTAAGTTATTACATAACTAAAGGATCGTCTTTTGTGTCGTGAATAAAATGAGGTTGGGACGTTGGGTAGTGATATGATGAAACCATTTTTCTGGGATCATAAAATCCTATTGAAGGTTGTAAAAAATAGTTAATGTTATGGTATTTTATATTGATATTGATATTCAATCTTTTCATATCGTTAAAAACTGTTTACCGATTTAACCTTCGATAAAAGATTTTCTCTGTCGCTTCTCCTAATCAATACGGTTTTACATACACAAATTTCCCCCCCAGCATATGATTATGCTTCGTTAAGATGATTTAGCAGGAGAGAGATTCTTTGAGGTCACACGTATATGTTTTTAGTCTATTAGATGTATGGGGTCACATAAAAATGGTTGCACCTCATTTAATTATCATAAATAATTTTAATTAAAGAAAAGACCTTTGAAAAACAAAAAAGATCGATTCAAAAGCAAAGGTTTTGATATCCCATATTGATACATCGTAAATTAATTATACATATTTTTACTCCCCATTTGATGTTGTTTGAGCTATCATTTTGGCAAGATTTATATGTTTTCGCTTGTTTTCTACTCGGTTTATTGTTTAAGTGTGTTTTGGATCATCTTGAGTGAATTTTGATTGAGATTTGGACGAAAAGCAGACTAAAGATGGAAGGTATGGAGTTCGAGTGATTTGAAGATCGTGTTGACGATATTTGAAGATACTTACTAGCCCAGCACGACCTGGAACACGACCATGTTGATGGGCGCGCTTAGGAATCAAATAACTCTCGAAAATCCTTTGGAAAGAAGAAAAAATAAGCTGCCCAGCCTAACACAGTTTGTACCACTACCTTGCTCGAGCTCGGAATTTTGCTTGTTTAAGCTGTAATCGGATTTTCTGAAGGGAAATTTGTTTAAGATTAAATCTAAAACCTAGAATACGAGTTAGATGATAGAGAAAGAAGTTTTTTCAGCAACTCTACCCCGGTGGAGTCGATTGAGCGCGATCAATCAAGGAGTTTACTATGAAGATCGACTTTTCTTTTTCTTCTCTTTTTGTTCCTCTTCCCTCATAAAGTAATCATTCTTTCTTGGGGTTAATTGCAAGGTTAGTCACTGAGATTACTAAATATTGGGGTTGGAGAGAAAATTTTTGAAAATTAATATTTATTTTTTAATTGCCCATGTCACACATTTAACGGTCAACTCCTAGAGTTGACCGCCACATAAACAAAAGTTAACGAAGTTGGACGGAGAGTGTACAAACTTGAAGTATTTAACTAATTTAAGTGACCACGAATGAAATTAAATATTTCTAATGTCTAAACATGAACATTTTTAGTAATCTCATAGACCAACCTTGCAATTAAATTAACCCATTCTTTGTTATTTGGATTACTAGCTATAATACTCTGATTTGATTGAATATTTGTGGAATTAGATGTTTATTTTTCTTTGTTTCATCTTTTGATTTATCATTAGAGTTTTCAATAGTAATGCGCCTATTGCATGTTTGTTTGTTTCGTGTGTATGACGAGGAAGCTATCCCCACATGCATGATAGAACCCTCAAAGATGAAAGGAAATTATGACTGCCAAGATATAGAGGTCAGATGACTTTTTGGATCAGAGCATCTACGTCAATAGTATTTTAACAATTGCAAATTATATATGGCACTCATCATACAATTGCAAATGGGATTGCCCTAATCTAGTATGCACTTGCAAAGTAAGCTTGCATTAAATGAAATTAAAGAAATCCACATAAGAAAATAAAATAAAAAATTTATTTTTATCTTATGATTGTTTCATTTATTATTTATTATAAAGTCACATAAATCCTTATATATGCAATTGCAAGTGAATATCATTGATCTAGGTGCAATGAAATAAACTTAAGTTGGATTACATAAAGTTTACGATGAAAATAAAAACATTATATGCAATGGGTTTTGCAATTATATTGATGTGGATGCTTTTAGAATAAAACCGAATAGGAGAATTCACAAAACCAATAAAGCTTCAATTGATTAGTTCTAGGTTAAAGAGGATATTATGTCTAGAGTTGATTAATTGATATGGAGTTAATACACGACGGGATCGGGTTAGCTCTACATTGGGAATTCCTAAGGTCAAGAAAAGATGACATCATTGATTGTATATGTTATTTGATGATAAATTATTGATTAGCTAGGGGATTCAAAATCTGAACCCTGCCTTCTCTTCTTGAATATGCCTTAATGTTCCATGTTCCTCTTTGCTGATTTGTATTCTCTTGTTAATTAATTTACTTAATTAAAAGAATTGCTTAAAGATTAGTTTAATAGTAAACATTGCAATTACTAGTAGTTCATAATCGTATTTAGATATGACCTTACTTACCACTATATTGCTTCTACGACATGTACACTTTCCTTAGTAGTGGCACTAGAAAGGGCCATCAAGTTTTTGGCACCACTTCCAGGGATTGTGATATTAGGAAAGATTTTATTTTATAAGTTTAAACATTATTTTATTACTATCTTTTTTTTTTTGTATTTGCTTTCCATTGTCTGTTTCTTCTTTTGTACTTCGCAGGTTGTGTCTGTTTTTGTTTTTGCAGTTTGAGTTAGTTATACAAAGAGCCTAACCACCATAATTTGCATTTGATCTAAAGATAGAGAGTACCTTGCATAGACGTCAGCGAGAGCATAAACATTTCATAGCCATGGTCGAAGAAGATCAGGCAGTTGTTGGCAATGGAGGGAATAACAAAACGATGTTGGACTACTCTAGGCCAACATTGGATTACATCACCACGAGCATCCAGTTCCCTAAAATTTTCACCAAAAATTTTTACATCCCATCTTGGGTTTTGAATATGATTTATTATAATCATATGCTCAGGGAGATGCCAAATGATGATCCACATGCTCACATAAAGAAGTTCATGATGTTAATCGCTAACATTTAGATGAACAATGTGACATCGGATTCTCTAAGTATGAGGTTGTTTCTTTCCACTTTGGAACACCTTAGAGTGGCCTAGAATCTCAACCACCAGCCCTCGATCACCACGTGGAAAGAGCTGGGTGACAAGTTTCTAGCTCACTTTTTTCCTCCATCTATGACTGCTTGCTTACATAGATAAATCTTTGCCTTTAAGCATCAAGATGGGGAGACTCTTTTTGAAGCATGAGACCAGTTCAAAATATTGTTGAGAAGATGCCATCATCACGAGATAGCCACTTGGGTCCAATTCAATTTCTTTTATAATGGCACATTACACGAGTCTAAACAAGCAATAGATTATGTTGGAGGCGGCAAGATTCTTGGTAAAACACATCATCACACTACAAAATTAGGAAGTATAGAGGACAATAATTGGAGACAAAGATTTAAAATTGTCTCCGGAATAACAAACTTAAGTGATATTAAGGACAACTCCATGTAATTGTCTCCAAACCAATCCGAATTGGATGTTTCAATACTATGGGCCTAACCCAAGTTGTCCCCAAAGGTTTGGGCTGCCGATTCTCTCACGATAAAGTCAGGGCAGCTTCAGTCTTAGGGTTTATTTATTCCCCAACTTTCGCCTACTCTCATTCTTCTGTGATCGCCAACAAGAGTCGAAGGCGATAGACCATAGCCCTGGCCAATCGCAAGGTATGAGAGCACTTCTCTCTATATCTCCTTTCAATTTTCGTTCCTTCCATCAGTTCGTAGTAGCACTAGCTTCCTCCTCCTTTGTGTAGTAGTTTTCATGCATCATCCTCCCACAAAATCCCTCACTCAATTAAGGATTCCGTATATTGCTTTAATGATCGCAATCACTCTTATGTCCCTGAATCCATACCCTTTGATTTTCGTTTATGGAGATTACGGATTTAATTCCCCATTCTCAATTTTTATGTGAGTGCGTGTCACCAGTTATTTGAGACCATAACCTTTTTTGTTAAAATAGGTTTTTTTCTTTTAAATAACTTGATTGGTTTTCATTCATCCAATTGTTTTGTGATGAAAAGTGGTGTGCAACAAAGTTCTCAATATCAGGATGGAGGGAGAAGCAAGAGATATGACATGAAGGCTCTGATAGCTTCAAAAGAGTTCCAGATAAGTGATTTATTCATCTTGATCATGTGCATGTATGTGTTGGTTACTTGGTAACTCGGATATTTAGTTGAAAATCTCTGCTTTCTGCTCCAAGAAGAGCATTTGGAGGCTGAATGGGTAAATAGTTTTATAAGTTAGATTGAATTTGGCGATGGGACAATGAGCTTGTAAATTGATTAATCACAATATCCAACGCACTCTGGCACAAAGCTTGTGATAATTAGATCTTCATTTCCTCTTTCAAGTTCTTATTGCGCTCAAATGGTCAACTCTGAATTTGGGTTTGGTTTATCTTTCAGGATGAAATAGATTTACCACATAGACCAACTTTTAAAATCATGTCCTATAATTTTAAGGAAACTTAGCCCTCTCTTGGTTCCTTAGCAGGTAAATCATTCTTCAATAACTTGTACTCCTTTTAACGTAAGTTCTTGTATATTACATTTTGTTGCTTGTTCTATTTGAGAAGGTCTAGGTACTTAACTATTCCTCAAGTTCTAGGTAGCCTTAAGAAGTGGTGTTACGAGTTGTGACGGTTGTGGAATGGACTACCTATTGCATAATAAGTGGGTCTAATTCTCGATCGACTTCACTTACTATGTCGATGAAATATTGTCTTGTTTCATTGTGACAGGCTATTGAGTATTCACTGCCTAGAAGAATTTTGGAGGAATCATTTTCAAACCTCAAGGGTACATTTCCAGTAAGGAAGACAGAAAAATCTCACATGATTATTTATATTTATAGTTTAGCCATGATTGTAATATGTAATTT